AGATCTTTCACGCTGATCCTCGAAGTGTTGGACATGCGCGCTGGAGTGACGCGTAAGTACACATCACGCCCGGACGCGACATTTGGGCGGTGCCTCCTCGGTCGTGTTTGTTTGTTTCTGTTTTTGTTTTTGTTGTCTATTTCTCTTTCTTGCTCTCTCTCTCTCTCTCTCTCTCTCTCTCTCTCTCTCTCTCTCTCTCTCTCTCTCTCTCTCTCTCTCTCTCTCTCTCTCTCTCTCTCTCTCTCTCTCTCTCTCTCTCTCTCTCTCTCCCTCTCTCCTTCTCTCCCTCTCTCTCTCTCTTTCTCTTTCTCTTTCTCTTTCTCTCTCTTTCTCTCTCCTCTCTCTCTCTCTATCTATCTATTTATCTATTTATATGTGCATCTACATATATACAGACAGCTAGATATATAAACTAGATAGATAGTTAAACAATAAGACAGATACATAGATAGCTAAATGTTGATAGATAGAGAAGTAGTTAAGTAGATAGAAAGAGATGTTGATACAGATGTAGATATGCGTGTGTGTTTATGTCCGCGTGTACGTAATGTATGCAAATATCGCACGCTCGTACATGTGCACTTACACGTACCGGTAAAGTTCAGAATCTGCAATGAAATCGAGATATCATCGGATCCCTGCACGACTTGAGGAGAAGGAAGTCGATTCAGATTTTTGAAGAGAAGGAATGGGAGTATTGCCCCCTTTTTCCCCTCCCTCCCCTCCCCCCCTCCCTTCCCTTGCCTCTTCCTCTCCTTTGCTCTTTGCCTCTTACCTCCACACTTTTCTCCTTCACTCTTCTTCTTCCATTGTCCTATGTCCTTTTTTACTCTTTTCTGTTTTCTGCCTCTCCCATTTTCATTCACTCCTCCTTTCGTATTCCTTTCTCTTCCGAATCCTTCCCACTTCCTCTTTCTCTTGCCTTTCCCTTCTCTCTACTCTCCCTCCTCTTCTCCCGTCTTCCCCCACTTCTGCTTTATCCACCTCCACTTCCTCCCCCCTTTCCTCCTCTCTCCCTCTTTCTCTTCTCTCCCTCTCTGTTTCTTCTCTTCTATCCCTTTACCTTCCATTTTCTTTCACTCTCTCCCTCTCCCATGTTTCTTTCATTCTCTCATACCTTTATCACACACTCCTTCTGTACCTTCTCTTCCTTTTCCCTGTTTTTTCCTTTTCTCATTCATTCTTCTTCCTTTCCCTCTCCCTCTCCCTTTTTCTCTCCCTATTCCTCTCTATGTTCCTCTTCTTCTCCCTCTTTCTCTTTCTCTCTCCTCTCTCTCTCTCTCTCTCTCTCTCTCTCTCTCTCTCTCTCTCTCTCTCTCTCTCTCTCTCTCTCTCTCTCTCTCTCTCTCTCTCTCTCTCTCTCTCTCTCTATCTATTTATCTATTTATATGTGCATCTACATATATACAGACAGCTAGATATATAAACTAGATAGATAGTTAAACAATAAGACAGATACATAGATAGCTAAATGTTGATAGATAGAGAAGTAGTTAAGTAGATAGAAAGAGATGTTGATACAGATGTAGATATGCGTGTGTGTTTATGTCCGCGTGTACGTAATGTATGCAAATATCGCACGCTCGTACATGTGCACTTACACGTACCGGTAAAGTTCAGAATCTGCAATGAAATCGAGATATCATCGGATCCCTGCACGACTTGAGGAGAAGGAAGTCGATTCAGATTTTTGAAGAGAAGGAATGGGAGTATTGCCCCCTTTTTCCCCTCCCTCCCCTCCCCCCTCCCTTTCCTTGCCTCTTCCTCTCCTTTGCTCTTTGCCTCTTACCTCCACACTTTTCTCCTTCACTCTTCTTCTTCCATTGTCCTATGTCCTTTTTTACTCTTTTCTGTTTTCTGCCTCTCCCATTTCATTCACTCCTCCTTTCGTATTCCTTTCTCTTCCGAATCCTTCCCACTTCCTCTTTCTCTTGCCTTTCCCTTCTCTCTACTCTCCCTCCTCTTCTCCCGTCTTCCCCCCTTCTGCTTTACCCATCTATTCGTCCTTCCCCCTTTCCTCCTCTCTCCCTCTTTCTCTCCCTATTCCACACACACACACACGCACACAGAGAAGCGAATGTTAATTGGATTTGTGTAAAAAACTACCCTTGGCCACTTCCAGAACAAGGCTTGGTACACTTTTTCTCTTTTTGAGGGTCGTTGGGGGGGAGGGGGAGGGAGGGATGGGAAGAGGGAGGGAAAGGGGGAGGGAAGAAGGGAGGTATAGGGGAAAGGGAGGGAAGGAGGAAGGGGGGAGGGAAGAAGGGAGGTATAGGGGAAAGGGAGGGAAGGAGGGAAGGAGGGAAGGAGGGAAGGAGGGAAGGAGGGAGGGAGAGGGGGAGGGAAGAAGGGAGGTATAGGGGAAAGGGAGGGAAGGAGGGAGGAGGGAGAGGAAGGAGGAGAGATGAGAATGAAGAGGGTGGAGGGAAGAAGGGGGGAGAGAAGGGGAGAGATGAGAATGAAGAGGGTGGAGGGAAGAAGGGGGGAGGAGGAAGGAGGA